AGAAGACAGACAAGGGAAAACAACGCATGTCATACCTGGCGTCTTTAAGCAAGTGGATGACTGAACGTGGTTTGGGGGAGATGGCAGATGAAAGGAACTTGTTCAGAGCTGCATGGGATAGAGGGATATGGAGATTCATGATCGCCTACGACCTTAAAGGACATGGCACATAAAAATGGAAAAGGACAGATAATGAGGAAGGAAGGCCTGTAGAATCTGATACTCACGGGCCGAGTAGAGGGAGAGAGAGACAAGGGAAAACAACGCGTGACATACCTGGAAGACTTAAGCAAGTGGATGACATAAGGTAGTCTAGGGGAGGTGGCAGAGGAAAGGAACTTGTTGAGGGCTGTAAAGGATAGAAGGAGGTGGAGGGCCATGATCGCCTACGTCCTGAAATGTCCCGGCACATAGAAAGAAAGATTCAAATACGCCTGTTCTTTCTTGTTTAGCTCATTATATTTGTGCTTTTGATTAGGGCTAACTTTATTTGTTTTGGAAATGGGTGCCGCCATGTTATCTGAAAACCCACTGAGCAGATCACGAGGAAGAAGTAAATCACTGATCACTTTAAATGCAGTTAGAGCAACGATTGTTTCATTCTAACGCTTCTTATTTTTTTCTTTTCTCAAACAGGTAATTAGCACATTTTGTTCTCGATTATACAGACAACTTTAAAATCAAAAGACAGAACATGAATGTTTAAAATCTAACATTCAGTCCTAATAAAGAAATATTACTCTTAGACGCATAATATCCTTACAAGTTATTGAATGAGGATATTTTAAGTCTACTAGAATTTCCTTTAAAAATGTTGATCTCATTGAAGAAGTGGGGCAACCAAACTTGACAAATAAGTATTTGATATTTTAAATACTGACTTTGAGAAGTGGGTAGAACCTAGTATTTTACAGCACTCGTTCGTATTTAATAATGCTTCAAATATTAATTTTATATTGATATAAAAAGATAAATACAATCTTATATTTCCTGGCGATGGTCAGACAGTAAAATGGTTCCCCAAACAACGAATTAAATTTGCTGCTGTGTTCTTCAAACGGTCAAAATAATTAAAAACCTAACCGTATATGAAGGATGTTTTATTATAATATTTTTCATGGCTTAAATTTTTTAATTGATGTTCGCGTTATACATTCCGAAAATGTCGCTTTAGAGGTCAAATTAAAAATATGAACTGAAAAAGTACGAGCGAATGAATCAACTGAAAAGAGTGTTTAACTATATCCTGATTTAGTCATATTTGTTCTAATTTAGATAGTGGATGGATTTTAATTATTATTAATCCATTGAAAATATCTTTGTTATAATTATGTTCACTATTTTCAACATAACAATTCTGTTAATAACCAAATTTTATTGGAAACTTGGAAGTGGCGTAATCGTTAGAAAGCTTGTCTCGCTAGATTAATTACGACTGAATAGTGATTTCGAATCTCCCTGTGTACCCTATACTTTTGGCCTTATTCCACATCTAAGGTCTGCTTAGGAAACCATAGGACACCTCGACGTGGTGTAATGGTTATCAAGCTTGTCTTGGTGGATCACTTACAACTGAATAGTGAGTTCGATCCTCAGTGGCTGATCCACAATTTCGGCCTACGCTTAGAAAATCACTTGGAGCATCTCGACGTGGTGTAAACGTTCGCGTTAAAACAGTTACGCCAGAGTCGTGAGTTCGATTCTCACTGGGTTCTTCAGATTTCTCAGCCTTTAGAAAACGACCATATTCATATTTTCATAAAGCAGCGTTTCTGTTTATCACCCTTTTCATAATGGACAAAATGGCTCTTGAGGGCTCAAAGTCTTTATAGCGGAAATTTATCAGCAGCTGATAAACAAGAAAGGAATCTATAAATGCAGAGGAATCTTGACTCTTCACTATTGAAGCTAGAAACTCCCAACCTTTGCAGATATTTAACTATATGTAAGCATCTTGACACTTTGTCTTTGTATTTTAATTTGATAAATTTAAGCGATAGTCGATCAAATGCCAGTTATCAGAATAGACCTCTACCCGTTCAGCGACACACCAAGATATCTTGACGCCTCCAATTACTGTATGCAAAACATCAGAATGTTATATCTATTATATGTGGCACAACAGGCAGTCTACACACCCAGAAATAATGTCTGAAACAAATTATAATGTTCCAATACTTTTAATTACTGTTTACAAATCAGCAGGCTATCGAGAATCTCCTCGGGATAATCTGTGAAACACCAGGATATAACGGAGACACCAGTACCTAATGTCTGCGTGAAATATAGCGAAACCTGATTACAAGATCAATTATTTTTTATGAGTGTGGGGTTATTCCTGTCTGAACGAATTTATAGAACTACTTATCTTACTCTTTACTACAAAATATCTGATGGTACCAGTGTTAGGGTTTGAAACTATGTATTCAGCTTTAAACTAACCGCCTACTGAAAACTCATAGTCTGTCTGAAGTAATATATACTTATAGCACATCCTGAAGAATGGATATTTTTTAATCATTTCCCTCTAAGTAAGGCGTTAAAGCCACTAAGCCACAAAGGGTTACTGAAATTTAATAATTCAGAGAAAGATCATTCTTAAGGAGAACGGATAATACAAGAACAGGATCCAAGAAACAAGATGACGATGGAAAATTTTTGAAGATTAATATTTATTGGAAAGCTGGGAGAGAGTTCCACAAGCGAGAAACAGGAGAGGAGAAATTCTTAGCATAGAAGTTCAAGTGTAAAATAATGAAAGCCAATCTATATATAACCTGAATATATATATATATATATATATATATATATATATATATATATATATATATATATATATATATATAGAGAGAGAGAGAGAGAGAGAGAATAATCATACAATCGGAATTAAGAAACCATTATGTAAATGATCATTTTCACTTTGTGTTAATAGGATTCACTCGGATATTTTTACAAGGTGAAAATGATCCTTTACATAATGGTTTCTTATTTCCGATCGTATTAAATATATTGTCCTGTTAAAAAAAAAACATTGAGCACTATGTGTGAATCAGTTTTAATATTTAATATTTTATATTTTATATTTTGTTAATAGGATTCATTTGCACTTGGATTATATTATACCTACGGATTATAACCTCTCTCTCTCTCTCTCTCTCTCTATATATATATATATATATATATATATATATATATATATATATATATATATGTGTGTGTGTGTGTGTGTGTGTGTGTGTGTGTGTGTGAATAATATATGTATATATAAATAAAAAAAAACAGTAAGATATATAATCCGGTGTACTTATAAATATTTTTATTTTTACAAAATAGTGATCAATGTAAATTTACAGAGCATTAATATTATAAATTAATGATTTAAAATATGTTTTCTTCGCTACACAGTTCTAACCATGTTTCAAAAATGGAAGCTAAAACCCCCGAATTTAATTTTGTAATTAAATTAAAGACATCCTCATGCGAATATATATATATACATACATATATAAATACACACATATATATATATATGAATAAATATATATATATATATATATATATATATATATATATAAATATACATATATATAATATATAAACATATATATATATATATGTATATATATATGTATATAGATATATATATATATATATATATGTTAAGTATTAGTTGTTTTAATAATATTAATATTTTTCTTTTATTTTATATTCACATTATTTTTATTTTTCTCCTATTTTGTTGATAATTTTTTAAAATAATATTAAGCGTTAACTATAAACTATATTAATCCTGTATTTTAAAAATTAACTGCAATATGCTTATATATGTTAATTTATTCATCCTTTTCTTCTTTCTTTTCTGTTTCTCTCCCAACGTTGCTAGCCCATTTACTTCCTTATATTTTTTCTTTTTTTTTCTCTTTGTCTCTTTTCCTGTGAGATGACTTATTAAATAGGTCAATGTTTGCTCTTTACCCACTTTCCCTTACCCTTAAGTATCTTAATAAAAATAGAGTTAAAATTATACCTATCTTTCCCTTCCTTCTCTAATTTCAACCATATATGTCGTCCTCCTCCCGCTCTCTCTATCAGTTTACATCAACTTAAAACTACCCCTCAAAAGCGTATAAAAATAATATGTAAATTTAAATTCATTTTTATACCTGGAAATGTGATCTGAGGAACCAGTAAAAAAACACTTTCCTTTATGGTTGTCGCTTTTTTTTTATTTTAATTAATTATATATATATATATATATATATATATATATATATATATATATATATATATATATATATATATGAAAATATATAGAAAATAGGAAGGAACTGGTTAGGTAAATAATCCAAAGTCCCTTAGTATTTTAGTTATTATTTTTTAAAAATAGTGCTCGATACAAAAGTAGAGCATAAATATAATTATTTATTTAAAAATATGATTCCAAATCGCTACATAAGAGGTCTCATGTTTCAAAACTAGAGCCGAAAACTTCAATATAATCCTTTAAATTAAATTGAATTCCGTTTCATTTTTGACACCCCTACCTTTCCCCGACTTGACACCTTGAAAGTATCTCTATACCGCTACTCAATATAAACACCCTACACTCGCCTACCCAATTTAGAAAATTCACCATAGCTGTTACCATGGGGATTTTGATTTCAATTTTAAAACAAGTAAATTTCAGATATATTTCGTTATTCCAACAAAAAAATTCGCTTGAAGATGGAACGGAACCCATTTTACTTTCAACTCAATTTAATTTAAAGGATTATATTGAAGTTTTCGGCTCTAGTTTTTGAAACATGAGACCTCTTATGTAGCGATTTGGAATCATATTTTAAATAAATAATTATATATATATATATATATATATATATATATATATATATATATATATACTGAATATAAAGCTATCAAAACTAATTATTGAAACTTCAGACATAATTGTCAATATTCCCTTTACTAATGATGATTAAAAAAAAATAATCGAACGTTTTTCATGGTCGTTTTTTAAAAGATTTTGGAGAGTGTACAAGCAGATGCGGATATCGAAAGTACGAAATGGAAAGAAATAAGCTTCTGTGAAACAAATGCGAATCAAGAATCCAGGAACAGCAGGAGAAAGAAGACAAAAAATGGCGCATAGGGCGTTGAAATGAAGCAAAATGAATTGAATGTATACTGACTTTTAGGCATCCGTTTCCTTTGACGTAACCATCTTCGATAGTCTGTGATTGAAGGAAAATGCATTGAAACAAACTTCAGAAATCAAAGTGAATATTAGCGATGAATCATTAGCTTGCAAATCGATCATTCGACGGACGGGAGACGGGGGAGTGTTAGGTCGTATTCTAGATGCTAGTCCCGAAATGACAGGGCAATCCAAGCAAAGTTTCAAATGCCTTATTATATGAGAGGGAAATGACTAAAAAGAAAACTTAAAAGTTTCATATATATATATATATATATATATATATATGAAAGTAAAGACCACCAGCGATGTAGGTGTGTTTTACTTATTAGATATTTCTTAGTTTCACTGCTATTCGCACCTGGGTGTATCATTTGCGAGAATTGAATCATTACTTTGGAAATTTTTTCTAATGAAATCACTAATAACATTTTGGGGTAATCCAGTGACAAATTTTAGACTAAACATATATATACATACATACATACAAACACACACGCACATTTCTCTATGATCTCCAATACACACATTTCATAATGTTTGGGTGTCAATCCCTGGAAGTCTGTAAAGACAATTTGTACTATTTCATCACCGACAAATAATGTCAGTTTCTGAGTGGACGGAATCCTGAAGCTGTACCAAAAGTATAGAAAAGGTAGTGTAAGAAAATGTTACATATGTGGTTGAAGGCATGTATATAAAGTGTCCAAATAGTGCCTTTGAAATGTACTTGCAAAGCACCTACTTTAGTCGCATAGGCAACATTGAGTAGGATGCCGTAGCAGATTATAAAGGGATTTCCATAGCAATAATGTTTTTACAGCATAAAGTTGCTAGCCCTACGCCTAAATGGATTTGATTTTACGAAACGGTTCCCCATCTAAGTACTGACTGAGCTTAATATTGCTTAACTTCTGCGAATCGGAGTTTCAGCGTTATTCGATCGTCAGCCTCCGACCATACACACACACGAACACACATACATACACACGAACACACATACATACAATACACAGACACGCAAACACGCACATATATATACATATGCGCACAAACAAATACACACACACACACACACACACACACACACACACACACACACATATATATATATATATATATATATATATATATATATATATATATATATATATATATATATATATATATATATATATATATATATATATATATATATATATTACAACTTTAAACATTTTTTTAGTGGCTAACCATGCATGGATGGACGCTCAGTTTGTTAATTAAAAAGTATATTTATTTATTTTCGTCTACCAGCCCCTT